CACCCCCCGTCCCCTATCATCTCACAGCCAACGCTGCAGTCAGGCTCTTCCAGCTGACTCCTTTCCAGCCATATTCCGCCCCAGGACAGAGCTCCCCCCTCTCCCGCTTAAGAACCTGCAATGGCTCCCGGGCTCCCTGATTGTCACAGGATTGTCACTCAAGGCCAGCAGACACCCTTCCGTGCCAGCCGCCTATCTACGAAAAATAGCACCTATGGCAATCAGTTTGACTGATCCCTCACAGCTGGCGACGGAAACTGCTATGGCCAGTAGAAACTGCTCATTGCACCCCCGCCCTCCGCCCAAGCTGCACCCAGAGCAAGCGCCCCTACCAGCCATACCTTCAATCCGCCTCTGCGAGGCCGTCCCCAGCCCTTCCTTCCCTCCACGCGCTCCTTTTCGGGGCTCCGTGCTCTGTCCCTGTTGTGTGCACCAGCCTGGCTAAGGTTGGGAGGAGTGAGGGGGCAGACCTCAAAACCAAAACAAATGTTCAGGGTCCTACTGGCTGAGTGCTTATCTGAGGGAGCACTCACCTTTGGCCCAAGCCTCCCACCCAGCCTCCCACCACGGGGGCTCCCACCTGCCTCTCAGCACACCTGTTCATCCCTGCCTTTGTCCATCATCTACTCCTGTAGAATGCACCTCCCCCCCCCACACACACACCTCAACTCCACCTGGGGCCAGATCCAGTTAGAGCATCATCCCTCTTCTCTCCTGCCAGGGACCATGCTCCCACCCTCAGTGTCTGGGGAGGTACTTGGCGGAAGGAGGGAGTCCCTTCCCTTCCTGATGCCACGAGAACTCTGGGTGCTCCACTTCCAGGCCCACAGACTCAGGGGCTCCAGGGTTGAGTTTGCAGATCTCCATTTGGGGATACATCATTCAGGCATTCAGCCATCACTTCCTGAGCACAAACTATGGGCCATGCAAGGTCTGGGTATGCAGAGGGAAACGACACAGACACAGACCTTGCTCTCCTGGGGCTCCAGTCTGGTGGGGGGATGAGAATACACCTCCAAGGACCCCCACTTCCGCAGCCACCTCTTGCCCCAGGCACACCTTGCCAAGTGAATAGTGTCTTTGTTGAAAATAGAAAACAGTGCCCCCTTCCCAGGTGAGCAGAGCCCATGCCAACGTACGAGGCTTGCTGAGTGGAGGGCAGGTTGGATTGCAGGCCTTGCTTGCTCCCTCAGTCAGCACCTTGTGCAGTGAACAACCTGGACAGCCCTCCGTGTCATCCCTTCTGGCTTCCCAGAATCATTCAGCTCAGGCCTCCCATGCCCTTCACTCTACGGGCAATTGTTTCCATGACTGTGGCTTCCTGGGGGCAGGGACCAGCTCCTTCTCGGCTCTGTGTTCCCCAGCACAGGGTCCAGCCCAAACAGATGTCCTGGTCCTATGTTTGTTACTTGAATCCTTCCCAAGTAAGTCTTGAGCAACTGCTGTCTTCCTGCCCCTTGCTCTGCACACTATTTAGGGGAAGGAAGAGAAGATGAGTAAAGGAGCCCAGCACAGGGCCTTCGCCCTCCAAGTCTTCAAAGCCCAGGCCGGAGATAGGCCCTGGCCCAAGCTGTGCTAACCCAGACCAATGGAGATAAGGGGTGCAGGAGGTGTCAGCCCAGGGCTGCAGCCTCAAAGGAAGACTCCTCAGCCCAAGGAGAGCTGGTGGCCTGAGGAGGCCCTTGAGGGAGGTCCCAAAGGACAACTGTGGGGTCACCATTCTGGAAGCACTGACTGTCCAAGGACTGACCACAAATATGCATCATCTGTTCATCCAGTTACCATGGCTCCTCCCAGCAGCCCAGGGAGCCCTGTTCCTCAACTGAAAAAGTTAGGCTCAGAGAGGTTAAGGAATCTGCCTGATGTCACATAGCCAGTGGTGGGGAGGATGAGACCCCTTACACCAGTGTTCCAAAAAGACACCCCAGAAACCAGAGGGTCCTCTGGAAGCTGCATACAGTCAGGCAACAAGGGTTACTGAGTGCCTGCTAGGTGCCTGTTAGGGGTAACAGGGAGGGAGAAGTGAAAGGTGTGTCCTCTGTCCAGGAGCCATTGCCCCACTCCAGCCAAACTCTCATTTCCCCTACCTCCACCCCCAGCCTGGCAGCCTTGGCCACAGACCCTTGGCTGGAGGCAAATGACAACAGGAGACAGCCAGCCTGGATAACCCAGGCTTTAATTCTAGACTTAGGTCTGTTCTCAGCTCACTGCGTGACCCAGGGTGAGTGTCTTGCCCTCTCTGAGCCTCAGCCTCCCCCTTGGTACAACAATCGAGTTGGCCAAAACAATCAGAGCCACCTCTTGATGCCAACCTTGTAAGACTTGACTCGAGTCAATTCCAACTCACAGCAACCCTATAGCACAGAGTAGAACTGCCCCATAGGGTTTCCAAGGAGCAGCTGGTGGATTTGAACTGCCAACCTTTTGGTTAGCAGCCAAACTCTTAACCACTAGCCACCCGCTCTCCAACCTTGTAAGAAAAACAAAAAACAAACAAAAAAAAAAACAAACTCATTGCCATCGAGTTGATTCCGACTCATACTGACCCTACAGGACAGAGTAGAACTGCCCCATAGGTTTTCCAAGGAACCCCTGGTGGATTGGAACTGCAGACCTTTTGGTTAGCAGCCGTAGCTCTTAACTGCTATGCCACCAGGTTTCCAACCTTGTAAGAGGCTCCACAGATTCTTCATAGTTCCATGCATTCCCCCACCCCTCTACCCGGGGCCCAGCTTCTCAACACCCCCTCACCAAACTCCCCTGCAGAGTGGCAAAACCCCGTCCCCACCACATCCCAGGTCCCTGGCTCACCTGTCTGTGACCCAGGGCTCCTCTCCCAAGTTCCCCTCAAGTACGGGGCCCAGGCCTGATGGGGCATAGCGGATAGCCCCTGAGCTCATGGCCAGGAAGACGGGACACTTCCCTCGGGCGGGGCACCTGGCAGGCTCCTCCAAGCTGTCCATGTCTCAGGGGCTAGGCCGAGGGTCCCTCTAGAGACAGCCCAGCGGGCAGGTGACAGGAACCTTCTCCCTGCCCCCAGGCTGAGCCTCATACTAACCTTTGCTATCTCTGAGGAGCAGCGGGCTGGAAAGGAGGCACCTCCCAGACAGGCCCCTATCTCCTGAAACCCTGTAATTATTAACTCCTGCAGTTCAGCAAGCAGCAGATGACACTGCGGGCCTCCTAGCCAGGCTCTGGGCCAGGGAAGGGGCGACACCCAAGGGTTGGTTGAGGCCTCCTCCTCTATGCCTGAGGCCCAGGCTTCAACCAGGCCTGAAGATGGGGCCACTTGTCCCCTCCCCACCCGGGTTAGCATGTTGGAAAAAGTTTGACCATGGCCCTATCACTAGCTGGCTGTGTGACCTTGGGCAATCGCTTAACCTTTCTGAGCCTCAGTTCCCTCATCTATAAAATGAGAACAATTCTGCCCTGTGAAGATGTGATGATCAAAGAAGATACCATTGGTGAAGTGTCTGCTGCAGTGTAGACTGAATCGAGTTTCCTATTCCCTTCTCCCTTGCCTTCCCTCTTCTTTCTGTGTCAGCCTCTGAGTCCCAGCTGGGAAGAAGCTGCCAGTTCTCTACCGGCCTCACACCCCACCCACCCTGTGGATAACAATATCTCTCACTGGAAGTTCTCTCAGCCTAATGCAAACCAGATGTTGGCCTCCCTTTCCTGGCAATGAATTTTCCATGGCCTGCTCCCACCTCCTTCCTGTTTTTTCTCCTTGCTGAACCCCTACTAAAATCTCCTGTGCCCCTATCTTCCTCTGCCGGGCAACCTCTGGGCCCACCTGGAAACAATTAATGGAAAACAGGATGTGTGAAAAGGGGGGAGAGTCTCCTCATCACCCCGACAGGGCAGGAGGGGAAGGGGCCTGCCTTGGCTGGTGGCAAAGTGGTGGGGAGTCAAGCCCCAGACAGTCCCTCAGAGGGAAACTGAGTCAGAGCTACTCTGGGGACTGTGTAGACAAACTTGTTACTTTCCAGACATACAGACATAGCCTGGGCTGGATGGGGAGCTGTGGGGATGTTGTCCTTGGCTGTGACCTCTTAGAAAATTCAGAGCCAGAAGAGGCCCATCCCTATCCTATCCTGTTGTAGATGAGGAAACTGAGGCTGGGAGACTTGTCTGGGATCACTAGTGAGTGGGAGCCAAGAGGCAGCCAGGTCTGGGACTGCTTGCCAGTGAGAGCTGCTGCCCCAAGTCACCTCCTAGGCTTGCTATCTCTGTGTCATTCCTGCCCCCCTTCCCCCGCAACCAAGCAGCTGAGCCTAGTCACAAGGGGAGCCTCCAGCCACCTCCGGGCTGCAGGCGAGAGGCTGCTGTGAGCACCTGGCCGGGCAGACCCTGAGGCAGCCGGAGGGTCACCGCCAGGCTAGGCCCAGGCGTGTGTGTGTGTGTGTGTGTGTGTGTGTGTGTGTGTGTGTGTGTGTGTCCCTTCTGCTCTGTGGACTCCCTTTGGGCAGCCAGGGGCTGGCCAGCACAGTGAGGACTCCCCCATTTCCATGAAAACAACAGCCCATGGGCTTCCCAAAAGCTGAGCTCTGGCCGCCCTTCCCTCTGCCAGCTGTGCAGACTGTTTGGACAACTGGATGGAATGTTTTGCAGAGAGAGTTCTCCCCGGATCCCTGAGCTCAGATTTCAAGAGGGAAGGAGGAGAGGATGCTGGGTCCGGGGGGAGAGGGAAGGCTCAGGAGGTCAACCATGGTCCTGGAGCACACTGCCCTCATCCCAGGCCTGACTCAGACCCCTTGGTGGGGAGCTGGAGTTGGGCCAGGGCCCCTCAGGGAAGGGTGGGACAGATGCTGTGGGTAGCCAAATTAGGTCAGAGATTTGGTCAGACCAACCCAATGAAGTCAGGCCCCAAGATCCTGGGCTGGGGAGGGGCTGGGCCCAGGAGAGCACTTTGAAAATGGTCTACAAGACCGTTTTGTCTACCACCACCCCAGCTTTACAGATACAGCAACTGGGATCAGAAGGAGCAAGCGCTAAGCTTGATCTTCTCACTGTCCAGGAAGTCCCCGCCCTCAACCCTAGCCCTAGGGACACACACACCCCAGCCAGGGAGCCATAATCCTTGCTTTTCCCTAAATAACACGAGCAAAATAACCTCCTCAAGTGCGGGACTCTAAATTCACAAAGAAAACACTCAGACAGAGCTCCCAGCCAGCCTCCGAGAGAGGGGCAGCAACCCACTTATGGACAAAGGATTGGAGGCCTTGAGAGCCAGGATTCCTGCTCTGGGGCCAGAGCTTCCCCACTGCCCCCTCCACACACACAGCTGCCCAGGCTTCCCAGAGTCCCCTGAAGAAACCCCTTCTCCGGTTAAGGAAGACATACAAGTTCTAAACCCAACTATATGGAAGATTGTTTGAGCCTCAGTTTATTGTTGTCGTTGTTAGGTGCCTTTGAATGGAATCCAACTCCTAGCAACCCCATGGAACAGAGTAGAATCACCCCATAGGGTTTACTAGGCTGTAGTCTTTACGGGACAGATGGAAGGTCTTTCTCCTGCAGAGTCATTGAGCTGGTTTGAACCACCAACATTTGGGTTAGCAGGCAAGCACTTAACCATTGACCCTCAGTTTACCCACCTTAAAATTGGGAAGATTATCCTCGACTCATCATCATAGGGTGGGGTAGTTGGCGAAGGAGGGTGGCTGTACGTGCACCGCTTTGGAAACTTACTCAAACATTTTTCAACGGCCAAGCCATTGGAGCTCAAACAAAGAAAGTAGGAGGATGGGGATTCCTTTGGGCCCAGATTACTGTGGGAACCCACAGAGGTGCCTGGGGGCCAGGGCTGGATTCCTAGAAGTGAAACTTGTTTGCCTACTCCCATCTCCCCAGCAGGAAAGTTCAGCCACCTAATGGAATTTGAAAACCAGCCAAGCCTTCAGGGATAGACATGACTAGTGACACCTGGTCAGCGGGTGGCTTTGTTCCAAAATGGTGGAATGTAGGGTGGGGCAGGACTGTGCTAGGATCTTTACATACATTATCTGAGTTCACCCTTGCAACCACCCAATGTGGTCCTTCATTGCTTTCTGTTCCCATTTTAAAGATGAGGGAACTGAGGCTTGGGAAGGTTAAATGATTTGGCTAACAGCTAACAAGTGAAGGATTTGTCTGACTTCAAATCTCCTGTTCTTATCCCTCCACCACCCACCCTCTCAGGATGAAGCATAAGGTGAGGCTTTCTAGAGAAAACAGAACTTGAAAATTAAGCAGGATTTAAATCTACAGAAATAGAGGGAGGGCATTCTATGCAGAGGGACCAGCAGAAACAAAGTCTTGGAGACGGGAAAGAGCAGGTCACAGACAGAGAGGCAAATCCTTCCCTATGGCTGAGAAAAGAAATAGCTAGAAAGGCAGGCTTAGGTTGAATTGTGAAAAGCCTCCAACAACAAGCTAAAGAGTTTGGACTTTATTCTGACTCCAGGAAGGTTGTTAAACATTTTTGAGCAGGAGTGACATGATCAGAGCCCGCTTTGTGAAGATGAAGTTGACAGCCATGTATGTAGAAAGTAGAAGTGAACATGTATCAAATACCCAGAGAGGGAAAGACTTTATAAACTTAGAAGCATTTGAAGAGATCTCAGCAGAAGACATCAATAAACTTACCTACATTAAAATTTCAAACTTCTCTATTTTCCCCACAAAACCAAAAAGCAAACCTGTTGCCATCGAGTCAATTCCAAGTCATAGCGACTCTATAAGGAATTCAAATTTTACATGTGCGATGAGATGGATCGCTTTTCTGTGGCCTCTCTCACCATGGTCTTGTAACTCCTACCCAAGTGATTGGGTGGGACTGTGCAAATAGGGTAATTGTGGCTCACCAAGGGGATTGGCCAGTTTTGCCATCCTGCTAGGCTTGAAATGAGCCATCCTAGAAGCGGGAAAGAGAGGATCCCACCACCACCATGGAAGAACATTCAGGAGTGGAGTGCGCCCTTTGGACTCCAGATCTTGGTGCTGAGAAGTTCCGGGAACCAGGACACAGAAAGAGAGAGAGCTGTAACACTGAAGACAGAGAGAAATGGCAGCAGGAATGACTGGCAGGAGATGGTGCACTGGACTTCCTGGCCCATAGAGTGAGAAAGCTGAGTGCCTTTGAGCCGAGGCTTACTGGCGGAGTGGGGTGCCTCTGGGCACTTATTGGCAGAGCTAAAAGAGCTTTGTAACACTTGCCTTAGCAGGGCAGAGGCTGAGGGGCCAGAGAGAAGCGTGCCTGTGGCACAGCTGGGAAGAGACTGTCCTGATGGAAGAACTATCCCCAGTGTTCCTGAGCCTGAGTTGTAACCTGTTACTTCCCGAATAAACCCCATAATCGTAAGTATTGTCTATGAGCTCTGAGTGACCACTGCAATGAATTATCGAACCCAACACAGAAGTAGAGAGTGCCGTGGGAGGGACGGCTGGTGTCAGAATTGGTTAAGAGGGCAGAAAGAGGAGGCATGTCTGACCTCCACTTCATAGGAATCAGCCTTGGGCTGTTGGTGTTGGTTCTCCTTCCCCCTTGTGAAGTTACAGGAGGCCAGACACCGCCCCCACACTCTTTTTACAATATGTAAGGACAAAGGGGAGTCATTGAAGGTTTAAGCAGGAGTGTGATGTGATCAGAGGAGCATGTCAAAAAGACGCCTCCTATGATTGTGCGTGGAATGGATTGGAGAATTTCTGCTTCTAATGATGTGATGGACTTGGAGAGCTGACGGACCTACTACAGAAAAAGAATATTCTGGAAAGACAGGCTATGATTCTTTGAGGACTTGTTGTTTCCCAAGATCTCCAAACATCACTTTCTCATCCACAAAGGAAAAGTGAGAATGCAGCTGGGAGGTTGGGGAGCTGAGTCTTGGGCAACTACTTAAAGTTAGGACCCTGAAGGAGGGCTGAAGCATCCCCTTGGCTCCGGGCAAAAGCAGATGCAAATCCTCTCTGGAGGAATGTGTTC